GCGTGCTTAGAGTACGCAGGCAAAGGCGACGGTTTCGGCCTCGGGACTACACTTCCCAGTGGGCAGCGCAGCGCCGCCGGGCCTGCGCAAGCGCAGTGACTCCGCGGTGGGCGGGATTCCACGGGGCAGGGGCGGGGTAAAGCGCGGGGGCGGGGCTCCCGGCTTCCCTGCAGGGCCGGCGCCCGCGTGGGGCCTGCTTGGCTGCTGTGGAGACGGGGGGCCTTGGGGGCTGTCCGGGGTGAGTGAGATTTGGCTCTTCAGGGCTGTGCATTGGGGCCCAGGCACCGTCCGGCGTGGGGGTGGGGATAGGGGTAGGCATGGGGGTAGACATAGGGGGTAGAGGTGAGGGAACAGTAGGAGTGGGCATGGGCGGGGGGGGCGCTGGAGTATATTTTCCTATTCGATTATCACCCCGGGAAGATCTTGAGTCATCCCTGGCTGATTCCCAGTAGCCCCCAGTAATCTAGCCTGGCTCTCTTTCCTCCCTCCCCAGAAGCTTTTTATGCCTTCTTCCTGTTTACGAACAGGCATGTCTGTCATCAGAGCATCAGACCTGCCATTGCTTGGTCAGAGTGCAGCTCTGTCTTGCCCAGTGTCAGTACCGCAGGAAGTGGATGCTACAAGGGAGAGTGAGCGGGGTCTGACGAGGGTTTTTTTTCCCACTTTTCCTCACTCCCTTGCCGACTCCAGCATTTAAGATCTACGCAGTTTTGATCCAGAGGCCATGCCCGTAGCTCCCTCATCAATAGCAAACATCCATATTCATAAGCAGGCTTTTTCTGACTGTGAAGTAAATATATTCCATCATTTCCCAGAGATTCCGTCTCTGAAAAGAAGAAAAGAAAAAAACTAAGGAAGAGCAATGGGAGTCCAAGGACTTTGGAAACTGCTGGAGTGTGCAGGAAGACCTATAAACCCAGAAACACTGGAAGGAAAGATTCTTGCTGTTGGTATCCTTAAAGCCCCGTGTTGATATACCTAGCTTGTAAAGAGCAATATTTTAAGCAGTTCATTTGACTTGCTGTTGTTTTCTATTTAATATTAAATCATGACAGATGTATGTATTTTTTTTGACAGGCGACTATGTGTACATACAGACATACATATTTTGTTTTGTATGGAGACCCAAAATACATTTGTATATGTGCATATATTACCCCTCTTTCCCCCTCCCCGCAATGATTGTCATCAAGGTCAAATAGCTTTTACCTCTGAGCTGGTAAACTTTCATGACAGTCTTGTCAGCCTCTATTAAATGGACTCCAGATTTCTGTTTTTAGGAGTTAACGTGCATTTTGAATCAGCTCAAGAGTCATTTATTGTTACTGGTGCATTTCCTTGTTATAAGATGTGGGTTTATCTGTCCTGTTCTGAAAAGAAGAAAATGTGCCCTCATTTAAGTCCAGCAAAATAATTCAAAGCAGGCATGATGCTGCTCTCATCTTGGCTTACTGAAGTTTTATGAGTAGAAAAATTATCTAGCAAAGGGTGCTTTAACAAGCTTGTTCTGTAAATTTTGCAGAGTTAAATGTTTCAGTTATGTGAGAGAATACATCCTGCACGTCTGGGTGCAGAAATCCAGGGCATGGATCCTGCGTGTTGGGGGGAGATGAGTGACAGTTGCATTATCCCTGCACTGTTGCTGCCACCACCATTTGTCCTACTGCTGGGTCCAGGTCTAGACTGAAAGGCTCCTTGAGGTCTGGATATGGCTCATAAGGAGTTCTGCAGTCTGGATCCAGTGTGGAGTGTGCTGGTAAATTAGGCATTCTTAGTACAAAGCATAATTGTTGACCTTTTCAAAATTGAGCTAAAAGGTAACAGTTTTGTTTATGGCAGAAGTTGCATAGAGCAGGAATCTGGACTGACAAATAATAAGAACATTGGAAAAGCTGCAGAAAATGAGGATGTGTTTTTTCAGAATAAAAACTCTAGTCAGCATTCTAAGCATTTTATTTTTAGTGTGTGTGTGTGTGTGTCACTGGAGCTAATTAATAATCCGTAGTTACCTTGGCAGATTATCTTTAAGGATTACTAGTTATAAATGAAGGTACTGTGGGATAATGATAACTGTCTGTTCTTGGTTTTTAGATTTGAGACATGTCATGTCATAGATCCCTCATGTAAATGACATCTGGTAGGATTCTGTGTTACATAAATGTATTGATGTAGACAATGCTGAAACTTGCTTGGACTAAAACAGGCAAATAAGTGGAAAATCAATTCAAAGTTCCTTGCTAATGTGGATAAAAGCTGTTAGACTTCATTTATTTGCAAGAACAATAGAAGTGGTAATTTTGGCTGCATTGCGCCTTCATTGCTACTCCTTGGTGTGGGCAATGCTAAGAATTTCTTTCCTTCCCAGCTTTACAGATCCTTGGATAATCTGGCATTCACATAAATCCAGTTATTTGATCTTGGAGCAGTAGACAGGATTTAGATCTAAATAAATCAATAGCATAGAGTGGTCAACATCAATTAAATGAGCCTGTAAGATGGCACTTTTATTTTCTCTTAACTATCCTTTCAGATATTAGTATTTGGTTGAACCAAGCAGTAAAAGGATCCAGGGATCGTCATGGGAATCCTGTACAAAATGCTCACCTTCTCACTTTGTTCCATCGACTTTGCAAACTGTTGTTTTTTCGAATTCGTCCTGTCTTTGTTTTTGATGGAGAAGCACCGTTACTGAAGAGGCAAACCTTGGTTTGTACTTTTTAAAATAGTTTTATGTCATATTTGTAAAATATATGCTTATATTGAAAAACAGGATGGAAATTTGTTATAAGAAATTTTCAAGAGGAGGTGCCCACTCCTGCACCAATGTGAGATACTAAATTAAAGTCTCCCCTTTAGTTATGCTGAATCTGTGGCCTGTGGTGCTGTCATCCAGCCTGCAGGGCCCCCAACGGGTCTGTATGTTTGGCAGCAGAGAAGCTTTTTGCAGCCCAAGGGAAGGACCTTTGGGAGTCTGTAGGGTCCAAAGGTGTATCGCTTTCTTGGCAGACTGACCATGCGGGAGAGGAGAAAAATTTAGCAGCTTCTGAGTTCTAAGTGGGAATTTTGCCTTCATAAATGCTGCAGAGTTAGGATGTATAACTAATAAATGAATAATTTAGCTTCTAGCATTTATGAAAGCATGATATGAAACACGTGTCCATTAATACAAGAAAAATGAAACTATTTAAAAGGAAATATGTCTTCCATGCCACTTCTGTTTACAGAATAATTCATTGGAGGAGTATCTTCAGTTAACAAGGAACTTGATTTTAATGAGAACCATATAAATGAGAACCACAATGTTTCACTTGCAGGCTAAACGAAGACAAAGAAAGGATATAGCAGTCAGTGATTCGAAGAAAACTGCAGACAAGCTCTTGAAAACTTTTCTGAAAAGACAAGCTATCAAAACTGCTTTAACAGGCAAAAGGCAAGAGCAGAAATAGTTCCCCACCCCTTGTTATTTCTTCGTGACTCGTAAGGTTTTGTTTAGGCATTAATCATGGCTTAAACTTTTTCTTAAGCAATGAAGCATTGCCGAGTATTACACAAGTTCGAAGAGAAGAAATTGATGATATGTATGCACTACCTTCCTTACCAGAAGAAGAAAAAAATAGGTAAGCAAACTCTTAAGTTTAGCTCTGTTTGGTATAGTAAAACCCACTATTCAAAGATTTTGAAATCATTTTAAAGTTGTAAGTATGTGTGCTTTAATTTAATGCTCATGAAAGAGGTTGGGCTAATAAACTGAAGAATTCAGTCTCCAGTGTTATCTATGGGAGAGTAACTGACATAGGCAGTATAGGAAAGCTTATTTTAAATTTGCCTTCGCTTGGTTTGAGGTGACCTCTGTTGATGGAAGGGTTGGTTCAATCTCCATGCTTATCCAGTGTTTGGCTCCTTTGTTAAGATGACTAGCAGAAGTGAGGTGTTCTTTATGTGGCTGAATTTTGTTTTAGATATTTTTTTTAAGGAGTAGTATGAAGCCCCTGTTAGATCATTTTTTTTTTTTTTTAGGTCACAGTTGACCTGGTTCTTATTTGACTGAAAGATATCTCATTTTCTCTGTTATGATGATCACGATCTTATTCTGTTCCTGTCCTTTTTTTTATTATTGGCTTCAACTAAGATAATATCTTATGTTCTGTTTGCAAGCAAACTGTAGGGTAAGGCTCCTCTGCTTATGTTCAAAAATTGAATTTGTTCCTGTGGAGGAAAAAAATACGCCTTCCTTATATGTCATTTTCTTTCCTTCCTTCCTTCTGTAATTTTAGCTCGGAGGAGGAAGATGAAAAAGAGTGGGAAGAAAGAATGAGTCAAAAACAAATATTGCAGGTAACTACCTTTTAATTGCCTTGTACTTGTGAAAAAGTTCAAAATGAGTGAGATCTGTTCCACTTAATTTACTAATACCCAAATAGCATTGTCTGTCTAAGGAATGAATGATTAAAATTTTGCATTTTGCTAACCAGAAAATGTTGAAATACATATTATATTAGTGGAGAACTACAGACTTAGTGTGCCCAGATTTTATATGTTTCATGAGCTTTAAAAAAAGGTAATGTTATACAACCTGGAAGAAACTTAAATATTTGTATTTTTGCAGTCGGTTTTTTAGCAACTAAATTACGTGAAGATACTGGAATTCTTCCGGTCTTAATTTCAAATGTTTTCACCTGATTGTTTTTCTTTAGTCTTAATTTCCTTTCTCCCATAAGCAGATGTTGCCTGTCTGACTTTCAAATCTCTTTTAAAATCCATCCCTTCAAACAATTCCTCTTTCCTTTCCTGCTTTGAATAATTTTCATGCCCTTCCATTCTCCCTGTATGTTGTGTATGCTAGTCTAGACCTTCAAGCATTAGGACAGAGTGGTTGTGGCTGCACATGTTTAATGAGGACTAGCCTGTTTTACTGTGCATTAAAGCAGCAAAAAAAAAAAGTGCTGTTACACTGATTTGCAGTAAAATAGGCTACTGTGCATTAAACATCACCTAAAAATGATGTGCGTTTGCTACTGTGCATTAGTGCAGCCTAATGCACATTTATTTAGTACCTTACATTGGAGGTACTAAATTTAATACGTATTAGGAAAAGTGTATTAATGCATATGTAGATGCTTCCAGTGTGGGGTTTACCTATGTTCTTGTACATGCAGCTGTACTTATGTGCTCCGTGTAAGCAGCGTAGCTTCATGTGGGTATAGGTTTCCGTTTTCAGGATTGGAATTGTGGGCACTTTTACATATGCTCCAATGCATTCCGATTTAGAATTCATGAGAGCAAACTCGATGAATTGTTAAATGAACTGTTCTAATCAGAAAGCTCCAGCATGCTGCAGCATCTCATGTATTTAGCATCCCCACATTTTAAAATGGCAGCGGGGGTGCTTTAAGTTTGTCGATTGAGCTTTAGTTAAAGCCCCCTTTTTTGAAATGTGGGACTCAGCATGTCAAAAAGGCAATGGGAGCACTTTAGTTAAAGTTCCATTGAATGAACTGTAGTTAACATGCCCTACTGCCTTTCTGAAATGCAGGATGCTGAATACACAAGATGCTGTGAGAGTCTTAATTAGAGCAGCTCCCAAGAACTGCTCTAATTAAAATGCCCCTCTCCCTGGAGCACATGTATAGGTGCTGTGTGTGTCCAAAGTAGTTAATGTTTTCATAAACTTAATATTCATAGAAACTTCACAGAACTTCAGTAGTTTCACATAATTAACTTGTAGTAACAGCACAATTTTTTAAAAACAATTGGCTATAAGTGTCTCTTATAGCTCTAATGTTATACAGCCTTTGAAAGAGTTAGAAACATTGTGGCAATAAAATATTTCCAAGACTGGGAAACTATTCCAACTAGTTTCCCTGGACTTGTGAAGAAAAAAGACAAGAATGATATTTTATTTTTAAAGTAAATGTTTTTTATATATACTACAACATATTCAATAGCTATGCTTTTAATTGATCATATATAAACTTATGTTGAAACACTTACATTTTTTATTTTTCACAAACAGATCCCATGCTTCCTTTCATCTCCTTTCTTGTATAGGAAACAATAGAAGAATACAAACAAAAAAAGAATTGCTTCATGTCAGCAAAGCGTATTTGTGCATGTAATTATTAAAAGTTTTCTTCTATCCAGTAACCAAAGATAACAGTGCTAATCAGATCATCCTTTTTAGTCAAACATACTAAATAGTCTCCCAGAATCGAAAAGAAGAAAAGAGATTTTCCTGAAGACATGAAAATCAGAATCAGTGTACATGAAAGATTGTTGTTTGGAATATATGCCAAATATATGTTGTTGTTTTTTGTTTTTTTTTTTACAGAAATCTTGACTCAAATTTTCCCTCTATATCTGTGTACAAACATCTGTGTTATCAAATAATTTCAGTATTTGCCTTTGTCAGGCTAAAAGTCTTTATTAGAATACTCTCAAGAAGTCTGCCGTCCTAGTATAATTTGATATATATGATAACAATTGGGCTTTCATGTTAACTTCTGCTTTGATAGACCTAACTACTGTATGTGTCACTGCATTTGCTTTTGAATAACACTGTATATGTGCGTTGTCATGGTGAAATGAGTATTTGCATCTTGTAATTTTACTTCTAATAGGAAGAATTCTTCGCAAATCCTCATTCTGTAGATATTGAATCAGAAGACTTCAGCACCCTGCCACCAGAAGTAAAACATGAAATTTTAACTGACATGAAGGAGTTTACAAAGCGAAGAAGAACGCTATTTGAGGCAATGCCTGAGGTAAAAGTTTAATTTTTATACTCCATTAGGATAGAAACTAGCCATTAGTGCAGATGAGCAATGCATTAGTATCTTATACAAAGTACTCCTTATTCCTAGAGCCATAAAAGGGTAATCGTTTCCAACAGATTTGCTCCCTTTTATTTCAGAGTCACCCTTTCACTTCTAAAATTGTAGAGCCAAGACAGTTTTGCAAGAGTAGACAGATTTTTATTGTGGTTTATGCATCATTACCAGGGTTATTTGATGAATTACTATTTTTAGAAACTTCTTACTGGCAAAGATAGAGCATTGGTTAACTTCCATGCTTCCAGGTTGCCTGCAAAGCTGGCAGTTTGAAAACTACCTCCATATTCATAAAGCAAGTGAACATGATGCATAAGTTGAGACACACAAACAATATTGAACCCTGTGGCTGCATCCAAATGAGAAGGAGCAGTGCTGAGTTTTTTTGTTTGTTTGTTTGTGTTTTTTTTGACCCCTGGATACCCACAGGTCAAAAAAACCCAGGCAAAAAAAAAAAGGAGAGCTATGCATGTGGGGGCAACGTGCACCGCTCAGAACTGGAGCCTGGCCTGCCGGAGCTGCCATACAGCTGCTGGCCAGGCTCTGAGCAGAAGGATCACTGCTGCTGCAGCCCCAGGAGGCCCCCAGGACCCCTTGTAAGGCTGCTGAGGCTAGCCCAGTGCTGGCCCCAGCCTCCCCTACCCCACCTGGGGGTAACCTGCTGCGCTTTAGAGCACGCATGGCACAGGCGTTCCCCAGGGCAAACTAGCAGCAGCACAAGGTGCTCTGCTTCTAGTTGTCCCTAGGGAACCAAATGTCCACACTCATCTGGATGTGGCCTATAGGGCCATTGTTAGAATCCAGTTTCGGAGTCCAGGATTATTTTAAAACACAATAGGTGTTGTTTTACAAGGCAACTTACGTTGAAGCTTGCAGCACTGTCTGCCATAATAGGCAACTGCTTGAAATAACCCACTTTTTCTTTCATATTTGCTTTTGAGCTTGGGACCATCTTTTGGCAAATCCTTTTTTTTCTGGTCGTGTACGAGCTCCCTCAGTGCATTTGAGCAATGGTCTAAACCTTTCTCATCAAATAACATTTGTCAGTTTTATATTGAATTAAATTAACACAAGAATATCATTATTAGTCGGGTGTGCTGCAGTCAGCAGTAGGATGTGCTGGAAAGTGATGAAAAACAACAACAGTATTTTGCAACTCAGAATGCAACAAACAGGCTTGCTCAAAAATGGATTGGTTGCATTGTATTTATATTTATGCAATTTAATTTTTAATCTCATTTGCTTAAGGAGTCCACTGACTTCTCACAGTACCAACTTAGAGGCTTGCTCAAAAAAAGCAGCCTCAATCGGCACATAGAACATGTGGAAAAAGAGATGAGTCAGCAGCACTCGGGTGAAATCCAAACCCAGTATGAAAATGAAGGGGGCTTTGTGAAAGAAGTGGAAACTAAGAGAGTAGTCTCTGAAGATACATCTCACTACATCCTGATCAAAGGTTTTACAATGTTAATTAACTTCTTGAAACCTCTGTGTGAGAAATGCTGTCTTTGATGTTTTGATTGCTGCTTGGGCTGTGGAAAAATTTCAAGCATATGAGATCAGAGCTTGTTCTTCAGGAATGTATACTAATACTTTATGTAGAATAAGCTGTAATGGTCACCATTAATTGCATCAAAATAGGATTATACAAGACTGGCTTGTTGACATTAGCTTACTATTTTTAATTTCCTTATTTTTTTTTAAAAGGTTATCTATGAAACTATAACAGTCTTAGTTTTCATTTTCAGGTATTCAAACAAAAGAAGATACTAGTAAAGACTTGGAAACTTCTTCTGGGCATTCTTCATGTACTGAACCTAATAAAATATTTAAAGAAATGCAAGCTGATGTAAAGCCATCTTCATGTGAGAAGTTAGAGAAGGAGAGCATTGGAGTCGCAGCACCACCTTCTCCCCAAACTTTGTTTGCAATCCAGGCCGCTATACTAGAAAGTAGTTCAGAAGAGGAGCCAGAGGATGAAAATAAAAGGCAGCTAAATTTGTCCCAAACCTATCTCTGTTCTAAAACAGATGAAGGTAGTATATCGCCAAGGACACTGTATGCTATTCAGAAAGCTCTGAGCGCTGGTGGTGATGATGCAAGAACAGTTATTCCCACTAGTGATGATGGAGCACAAATGGAAAGGTCAGAGGTGAAGGAACTTCTTATTAGTAGTTCAGATGAGGAAGATGAGATTTCTAAAGTAAAAGAAGGGAGTGAACTGCTACCTTTGCCTACAGTTCATTCAGCAAATACAGTAATTCTGCCAGGTGATGAAGTAGACCAAAGAAGTCATGGGTTAGAAAAGAATCAGATTGCAGCCAAAGGCATGAGCACAACTGATGTTAAAAATGACTCCTCCAAAAGTACTAGAATAAATGAAAAAAAAGAAATAGTGCACATTTCAAAAATGGATGTAAGTTCCTTGCAAGAGGAGAGTGTGAACCTTTGCTTACAGAAACCAGTAGGTTTCCAAATACAGACTATGTCAGTAGCTACAACTAATTTGGAAAATATAGACGTTTCCAAAAGTGGGGAATCTGAAGATTTACGCAAGATGATTCCACAAACAGAGAAGAATCTATCTGAGGTACAGCATGAACTGAAACTTACCCCAGAGGTATCAAGGTCAAAGGAGGAAAAAGATGAAGGAAAATTGCAACCTGAAGAAAGTGATTCTGATGGTATGTGTTGTTTAAATACTAGTTTTGGCATAGTGGTCAAGGTTGCAGTCAGAATTAGGGCCCCACTGTGTTAAGTACTGAACAGGTATGTAAGAAAACAAAGTCCCTGCCCTGAAAAGGTTATGATCTTTTAGTAGAGATGAACACTCTTTAAAATATCTGTTACATAATGCCTTGCGATTTTTTTTTTTTTTTTAAATAAATATTTGCTAATATCTCTTGGATAATAGTAAATGTGTAGCCTCTTGTAAACAAGAAAACCCTGTTTTTGTGTGCCAGGCTATTTTTTATATGAGAATTTTATATGTTAATTTTAGGGAGAAAAAATATTTGCTCACTAATTTGAAGTGAGAGGTATTGATCCGGTTATTTCTTATCTAACTCATTTTTCTTAAGATTGGCTGTCAGTCTCTCTCAGTAGTGGGTATTTCATAGGTTCTTTTCCAGTTTGTCTAGATCTTGCTTTAAAAAAATTAGGAAAACTATATATTGGTGAGCAGCCACTTAGTTGTTTTCACCCCATGAGTCACAGTGCTTCTGAGAGTGATGACACCACGGGCTCACCTGTCTGCTGCACCTGGATCCTGCCCTGCAGGGGTGAGAGAATTACGTGACAGGAGAGCAAAGAAGTATAAGCTCAGCTACTTTGGAACCTGGATTTTAGGTGGAATCTGGAAGGCAGTTGTTGCTCTTTCATACGTAACATGCTGAGGTTCAGTGGCAAGTGTATGGCTTGTTTTGGAGCTACTCTTCTCTTTGTACATGCTGAACTAATCATGTGTAACTAATGAATTGTTCCCTTTCTCTCATGTAAGTAAAGGGGGAAATATGCTTCTATTTTTCTTTCCCCTAAAGTAAATCTAGTAAATTCATAATATAATCAGATACTTCAGATCTTTCTTCATGGGATATTTTAGTCGACACTTATTTTTGAGCTGTCTTATTTTTTCTACATATTAATAGATTTCAAACTGCCATTTTTGTGCTAATTTTTGTCTTCTGTGTGCTGCTGTTACATACTGGCACAATATCATTGCCCAACTGAAAAAACACAGCTTCGTATATGAAGTAATGAATAGTTTCTTCTGCATTTGAACCAACTTCAGTAAACCACCCCAGAGATGCTAGCAGGTGTGAGATGGTAAGATTGATGTTATCACATGAATCAAAATCTGCTGCTCTCCCTGTGATTTCATTATATCTGGACTATAAAGATATATCTTAAGGGTTTCTGATGGAATTATTTCATCAGAGCCTGTGTATCGTGAATCTATTTAATGTCATATCAGAAGGGAACTGAAGGGGAAAACCTGTATATGTGTGTGTGAACACATACACGTACTCATACATATTCCCTCCCTACTTTCTCTTTCCCCTATTCCAAAATAATCAAAAACTGCTTTAATGTAAAGGCTGGTTAATGTTATGTATGCCCTCTTAATAGCTTCAGATTTCCTGAAACAACACAGATTTTTGTTTAGTTTAATAGCTGTACTACTTTTATACTTCTGTCACCATTAAACCTGAAGACTGTCTACTAAATGTAGGTAAAAAAACACATTCATCAACAATTCAAAACAACAGTATTAAAAATTGAACGCTGAATTGAATGGGCAAAAAGACCAATACAAATACTTCAAAGAGAAATTCTCAATTGATCTACGTAAGCATTCAAGCTTTTACAAAATTCATTGCTATCAGTATAAGCTAGTTCTGACAGATAATGTTTAATTCTGTTTGCACAGGGCATAACATTCTTGGAAGGGAGGCAAAAAGTAAAGGTACTTGCAGAAACAGTGAGAAAATACTGCTAGAGAAAAACCCAAACCCTGTCTAATGTCTAGGGCTGCTTAGTAGCACTCTGGAGCATAGATCTGGATTTGAGGGAAGTAAAAACAAATGTACCTCTAGAATCTGTGTGCGTGTCATAGAGTCCTGCCCTCCTCTGTGAGGAAGAAATCAAACTTCTTTTTTTTTTCTTTTGCAGATAGCTTTATTGAAGTGGACAGTGAAAACAGTAAAGATGCTGAATGTCAAGGTGCCCCATTAAGAACCCTGCATGCTTCTATTGAATATAGTAGGAAGCTAGCTGATGAACCAGCTTCTGTAGAAGAGAACAACAATGAAGAAGATGGTGCCATGGAGAACGTCCAGAAAGATTCTGAAGAAGTACAGTTGTCTATTTCTCAGGATCCTGAAACTAAAAAAGATGGGGAAGATGCAGTGGATGAGTGGCAAGATATTAGTTTGGTAAGGATTCTTTTGTTGGGTTGTATTAAATAAATAATAAAGTAAGCTTCAGGAAATGTTTTTTTCTGCAGGAAACTACTGAATGGAAACTGCAGCAGATCTGTTGTGCACCAGCATATGTATTACTGGCTTCCATTTTTTATGCATTTGTCTTTCTGAAAGCTACATAACATATTGGACCTGATTTTTCTTTGAAAAATATTCTATTTTTAAAAATCAGGCCTAATGTATTATGTAGCTTTCAAATAGAGAACCTATAATTGCAGGTGAAATCAATGTGATAAACACTACTCACAAGCCTGTTCACATTTTTATGATGTGTTTCACTAAGGAGCTATGAAAACCTAGAAGCATGTGTGAGTTATTGGAGCACAGGCTCCTAGGGTAATTACATCTGAAAGAATTGTGTACATTTAGGCATTTAAGGCACTCTAGCAGTGGCATGTTCAAACTTTTGTTTCATTGTATTATGCAGGAAGAACTAGAGGTCCTGGAAAACAACCTTTCTGTTGAACAAAACATGCTTCAGGCTGAAAAACAACAGCAGGAGCGCATTGCTGCTACCGTAACAGGACAGATGTTCTTGGAAAGTCAGGTAATGTTTGTTGAGGGCACTGGTACATTTAGAAAAAATATTCATTTCTTGTACTGCTTGGAAGGTCAAACATTGTCAGGTATCTTTCATAAAGTTTTTATGAAAAACATTTTATGTAATTATGTCACTGTTTCATTCAGCCTACTTGGTAGAATACTGAAAGAGGCACAGTTTTATCTGAGATTCAAAATGCATGAAAATTAGGGGTGCACTGATAAAGATTTTCTTGGCTGATACTGATAGCTGATTAGCTGATTTATTAACCAACAATATCGGCCAATGCCAATCTGATAACTGATTTACTAATATAAATTAATCTTTTTTTTTTTTTTTTTTTTCCTGTGTACTTCAGCAGCCTCCTGCGTCATATGTATCAGCGTCCCAGCACTTAAAATGGCGGCAGAGGCACTTGAACTAAAGCTCATTGAATGAGCTTTAGTTCAAGCACTGCCACCACCATTTTTAAGCACGGGGATGCTTTTAAGTGGAACAGAGCTGAATGGGGCGAGGGCGGATATGGGCTGCCCACTGTGGGCTTGGCGCTCTGTTCTGCTGCCTTTGACCTGGGAGCCCCACGTTGGCCATGCACCCCTGCTCACCTGGGCAGGCAGGGGGCATGCAGCTGGTATGGGATTCCTGAGGGAAAGAGGAGAGTAGAGCCCCAAGCCCACAGTAGGCAGCCTGCATCTGCCCTGCACACAAGTGTGGGGGGGGGCACATACCTCCCCATGCCTCCCCCAGGGGGTATGCACAGTGGTGGGGAGCTGCTTCCCCCTCTCCTCCCCCATACCTCCTGATTGAGCCGCCCGTGGTTCTGTCCTATTTCTTGCCCCAGCCCTGGGTCCCATGCACTGCCCTGGTTGGGCTACACTCCCAGCCCCAGCCCCACTCCCTCCCTTATCATGCCGGCCTCAATCCACACCCCCCACACACCCGTTCTCTCCCTCAAGCCCCTTCCCCTCCATAGACTTACCTGGAGGGGGCTGCTCTCTACTCTGCGTGGCTGCATTCCAGGCCATGTACATGTGTGCAGCCACACACGCACGTGGTGCCTCCTCCGTCTTGCTCCCAGCAGCCCCAAGCAGGACCCCTTGCAGGCTAAAATGTTGCCTGCCTGCAAGAGGAAACCCAGCTTTCCTGAAGGAACCCAGGCATCTGGAGACCCTGGCCCCGCAGGGGAGAGGGAAACTAGGTGTCCAGGGCCTTGGCCAGAAGGCATAATTATCAGTAAACATTATCAGCTACAACGGTCCAAAAAAGCCAGTAGCCAGTAATGTCATTTCTGCTTTTATCGGTACCGATCCGATAGGCAACTGATACATAGATGCACCATGAATGAAAATGAAAATCTTTTATACAATGAAGCAACTACAGGTTGTGTCTAATGCTATCTGAATTGATACATTTTAAACTATTTTTTCAAAACATGTATTGATACATGTTTTGAAAAAAGCAAGAAGTGATTAGTTGAAGTTTAAAACATAGTAATTGCACTTACATTTACCCTACAAGATTTACAAGCTCTCTGTTGATTATTATTTTAAAAAAATTATGATCATGTGAAGTCTTGCCTGGTAGCTGATATGATTTGATTTTTGTTTTGCTTTTAAAGTATTAGCTCTAGGCCTTGCTTACTACAGACTTAGACTTTGCTCATGTTTTGTGGATGTTTGGGCCTGAGCGTGTAGAAATCAAAATTCTCAATCATGACTTAAGTGGTCATAATGAAAACGAAGTTTTGTAATATATAAATACTTTTTCCAAATGCAAAGCAGGAAAGGTTAAGCTGTCCTTTCAAGTTGAAGTATTAATACCTTTCTTACCTTTAGGAACTTCTTCGTCTGTTTGGTATTCCTTACATAGAAGCTCCAATGGAGGCAGAGGCTCAGTGTGCTGTTTTGGACCTTACCGATCAAACTTCTGGAACAATCACGGATGACAGTGATATTTGGCTGTTTGGGGCACGTCATGTTTATAAAAATTTCTTCAGTCAAAACAAGTATGTAGAATATTATCAGTATGTGGACTTTCAAAATCAACTAGGTAAGCCCAAGTATTTTGTGTGCTGGATACATTTGTTTTGATAAATAGCTTGGATCTATTAAACTATAACAATTACGACTTTTCTGGAAAGAGTTCAGAAGCACATGTAGCATCATTATTCAGTGTTGAGTCTAGTGTTCAATAATCTCTTTGAATTTATAGCATTTTTTTTTTGCGTCTTCAGCAAGGGGAGTGACCTAATTATGATAGTAATCCTGGCTACATGTATGCAATACATGGCTGAGTTCTCATAAAGGTCAATATAACTTTTTGTGAGAAAACAAAAAGGACTATGCGCGTATCCAGATGAATATGGCCAGGTGGTATGTGGTGCTGCAAACACATTTGCAGCTCCATATACCACACAGTCAGGTGCTCTCCGTACTGCAAGGGCTCGCTGCCTGTGCGTGTGCTGCTCCATTTTTTTTTTTCCCCGCTGCTCCATTTTTGGGGGTATTTTTTATATCCAGGAGTCAAAAAAAACCTGTATGGGGGGGAAAAAAAGCAGCACACCTACAGGCAGTGCATGCTACTGAAAAGCAGAGCCAGGCTGCCTGGAGCCATGCTGTGGCTGCCAGCCAGGCTCTGCCCAGCAGGATCACTGTTGTTGCAGCCCCAGGAGGCCCCCAGGTAAGGCTGCTGGGGCCAGCACAGTGCTGGTCCTAACCTCACCTACCGCCCCCGGGGTAACTTACCAAGCACCAATGTACACGTGGCATGGGTATTCCCCAGGGAACTAAATGTCTGCACTTGTCTGGAAGCAGTCTGTATGTCCTTTTAATTCAGTTTGTTTAAACCTGTGTAAGTAGTGGTTTATTTTGAACATATGGAGAAGTGCTCTGTTATGAGGGAATCTAGTGGGTTAACTCACTTTGTAGAAAGGTCTTTTATTACTAATTAAATAGGGATAAGTGTGTGTGGGGGGGGTTTGTTTGTTTTTTTTAATTGCTGATGTAGGAGCAATGATTGGAAAAAAAAAAAATACTGGTTTAGCTAAAAGATGGTTCATTGCAGCAGATAGCTAAATTTATTAAATATTTCATCTTGGTGTCACTTAATGTGTTAGACCTGGGTGTCAAATGTTGGCCTAGAGGCTATGGGTTTTCTGGTCGGGGTAGGGTGAGTGAATGCAGTATTAAAAGATTTCTGCTTAATTCCAACTTTTGCTCAGCCTTTATTTGGGCAAAATTCCTGCTGCAGAGAGTTTAGAAACTTGCTTTAACAAGGACAAGATTTAGGCTTTGAAATAGTTTGAATGCGCCTGTTAAGCTAAATTTCATAATCATTTTATATACAGAACTTGGATGCAGTTGCTGATATTTGCATCACCAGTAATGTGTTTGCACTGTTCCAGTGTATGGTAGAGCAGGTGGTGACCTTGAGTCAGTGTTCCTTCCAAGCTTGTTCTTTTCCCTGTTGTTCAGTTAATGTGCTCTTGTTGTCTGTGGGAAACTAAAACTTACATTCAGAGTGTAATATCTGGTTTATACAATCTGTCCTACAGGGTTAGATCGAAGCAGGCTAATTAATTTGGCCTACCTGCTTGGAAGTGATTACACCGAAGGGATCCCAAATGTTGGCTGTGTAACAGCAATGGAGATTTTAAATGAATTTCCTGGGCATGGAATGGAGCCTCTCTTAAAATTCACGTATGATGTCTTTTTGTCTTACTTTCTATAATACTGATGATTATACTTTGCATTAACATATGTAATCCTTCTTGTGAGGGCGTGCAGGTTTATGGCTATAATTAACTCACTGTCCCCAAAGCTACCTTGATTTAACAAGAGGGTACAAACAAGATGGATTTATTTACACCCATAGTCATTGGAACCACAAGCTGTAACCCAGTATGGAAACCTGATAACAGAATTATCCCTTTCAATAGCACAGTTTAAAACCCCAACTCCAGTGTCACAAGGACCCTTTGGGGTGAGAATCTTCACTTTGTGCACAGCCCAAGCTGTCCTAGATGCCACAAAGACTTCCACCACACAAGGGCTTCCACAGTCACATTCAGCACACTAACTTTTGCAGCCATTCTAGTGCTACTCACTCAGGCTTTGCTCTGTAGCACCTTTCAGTTTCTCTCTGTGCTGGGGTCTCGTTGTGGGGAAGTCGGTCTTTTCCCCAGCTGCAGTCAGACCAGGCTCCTCCACAATCTCCCTGGGGCCTCATTCAATGGTGTTTGGAACATGTTGGAGAGCAAGGCCTGCTCCCTACTCAAGCCACACTGGCTTCTGGCAAAATAACCTCCACACTACAGCTCCGCTTTCCCACTTCCCTTCCTGCTAGCCCTGAAAGAAGCCTGGGGGCTGTAGTTCAACCCGTTATCCTCATAGTTCATCCTAGCACCCTGGGTCTGGTTTTCCTGGGCTTGGAGTGACCCCACCCTTTTCTGCTTAACTCTTGCAATCCAGGGGTAGGAGTTGTACATATAAAGAAAGATGTGAATATCGGTAAGCAGGACAGATTACTAAAAAAAATAGGATTACATGTTACAAATATGATCTCTAGTTCAAATTGCAAGTAAGATGATATTGTTATGTAACAGTAAAATGCCTTATTTTTTTTCAAATACAAATAAAACTGTTTCAAGGGTTCATTTCAGATCTGGACTCTGAATGAAACAGATTGTGTCCCCCTGAGTTTAAAAATGGTGTGTGGTAACTTGTTAGTAGAGAAAGGAGACTGAAGAACAGGGAATAGGCTGCCTGAAAGAGAGACAGACAGACTAGGGAAGGACAAGTAAATTTGAACCTGGGAAGACCGATTTAGATGGAGGTGTGAAGAGGAGTCAGTAGCCAGTAAGACCCATTCCGTTTCAGAGGCTAAAATAGAATTCCTGAATCTGCATTTTGTCAGCTGTTGCTTCAAAATCTACTGGTGAAGGATGGTTCTTCTTCCTTTCTAGTCCCTATTTAATGTAGATATAATGGCTTGTTGCTGGTATCAGTCACTCATTAGTTCAAGAGTTAAAGGTCTGTGTTATGGACGTAAGTTTTCTGTTCTTGCTGATGACTCTGTCAGGTGGTCAGTGTGGCTCCACATAGTAGAATTTCTGTATTCGTATTTTTCTTTAAAAAAAATCTGCTTTAAAAGAACATTAGGCTATCTATCAGGTCAGGCTCTCAAAAGTTAGACAAAGCTAGATGTAAGGTTGACTATGCAGCCTTAATTGTGACCCTGTTGTGCAGATGCATCAATATACAGTCATTAATAACATAAGCATGTGCTATTTTTTCTATAGAGCCTCTGCCTCTCTCAGTCCTTAGGGTGGATTGTGCTTTGGGAATGAATCAGGGTTACATAATGAAGCACTCTATAGGCTGCATACTGTTTTGTTTGTGAATTTGGAATATGTGTAGTGAATGAAGCAGGGAACTGCAGGGAGAGAAGATAGTTTTTTACTTTAGGCAGCTGAGCGTTGTCCAAGTGAATTGAATTCTGTTCATCTCCATTTCACATAGTTCCAATGGGATACTGAACAAGTAATTGAAAACAAAATATTCATAGTCTGTCCATCATTTCCTAGGTGCTCATTTTGAAGTCATTTGAGTCACACTTGCAGAATTATCAGGCACCTGCAACTGAAGCTGTAGGGAGCTATATATGGAACATTTTTGTAGCATTGAACATGCAAAGTACTCTGAAAAATCAGATCTTAAGTGTACCAGCTTGGGCATTCAAAATTAGCTGACACTTTTGACAATCTTCATTTAAATCTCTCTGTGCATCAGTTCCTCAACTAAGTTCTTCAGCTATAAAGCAGGGATAATTAAGCCTTCCTGCCTTCCCCAGCATTGTTAGAGTAAGCTTGCTAGTATTATAAAAAAGTGTTTATATTAAAACCTATCAAGAAATTGTACTGCAGGTTTTGGATGGTGTGCAACTAATTGCAAGGGGCTACACACTGATGACTTATATAGCAAGAAACGTTGAGTAGTTCTTCATTCACTCAGCACCATCCATCTTGATTGCTCAGTGAAGACGGGGTTCTGTTCAAGTAACTGATGCTCAAATAATTTACATTTTTAAGCATATGCACAAAGGGCTTAGCTTAATAGTATGCAGGCAGCTTTAATTTGGACATTTAACTAATTTTTGAATGCTTGATTTTTGTAATCTTAATTTTCTATATGTAACATATGTACACTTATGATTAGATTGCATTTTCAGTTGTTCATATTATATATGTAATTTTCCTTCCAACTTTTAGAAGTCTTCTGGTATGAGGGCAGGGATCAGCATTTCCTTCAAAGCATTTGCACTGAATGGTTTAACCCATCGGTGATAAGCAGAGATGTTACTAGAAGGAATTAAATTAGTAAGTAGGATGACTTCCACATTTTCTAATAAATTTATTTATAAATCCATAGTACATTATGCCAGAGCCAAATTTATAAAAACTTATGGAGGTCTGCTTAGAAGCGGTCAAACCTCAAGTAAGTATAATCATGACGTATTAATTAGAGAGTAGGGAGAGGAGTCAGATTTTGCTTCAAAAATCATTCAAAAATCTTTTGCATGTGGAACACTCTTCCTAAGCCACCCTGTTAGGCCATTACCCTTCCATATAGTTAAAATTCTTGAACCATTTTTGTTATTGTGCTATTTCTGTTATAGTGTCAGGAATCTGGTTGAATGTATTTGTCTGAATCAGTTCATGACCAAAGACCGCCTTGACCCACTTGTGGCATGCTGCTGTCTTTTTGTCCTCTGTTGTTATATCATGCCACCTTTATTTGTCTGGAAATCGGTAGTGTCCAAGGTGTTCTTGGCAGAAACAAACTGAAATGAGCTTGATTACTCTTGGCATTCTAATTGCATTTTAAATAAACTTGAATATCTCTCTCCTCCTATACTTTCAGTGAGTGGTGGACTGAAGCTCAGAAGAATAAGAAAATAAGACCCAATCCACATGATACCAAAGTAAAGAAAAAATTACGGCTGCTGCAGCTTTTTTCTGGCTTCCCAAATCCAGCAGTCGCAGAAGCTTATTGGAGACCTGTGGTGGATGAAAGAAAAGGATCATTTATCTGGGGAAGGCCTGATGTAGAAGAAATCAGAGAATATCTTTTAACTGTCACCTCTGACAAACTGTGAAAAAGTTGGTTTGATTTAAAAAAAAAAAAAAAAAAAATGGTGTCAGACTAGTTAGCAAAGTCAGTAACAGAGAATCAAATCTGCCTTTGTCTCATTCGTGTGAGGTGGAACCTTCCAGCCTGTGAAATTTACTTGTGGAGGTGATGTGAAAAGGATTTTACCTCCCAGCTGAAAACTGGAAGGCGAATCAGTGATGCATTCAATGTTTACTTAGTATCCCTTGCAGTAGTATGCAGATTATAGTAATTTTCTGTCTTAAAAAAGTGAAGCCTCTGATTTATGTACATACAAATATTAGGGTTTTTATGGTTTGTATGTTTTATAACAATATTGTGTACATAACCAGAGAACTTTTCATTAGCTTGAGATGCTTAGTATGCTCAGTAATAGGAAAAAACCTATTCTGAAGATATTTTCGATAATATTGCAAATAGCTAAGTAGGACATGGATCCATCAGCCTTTAATATTAATCTTCATGCTTACAGCACAGAATCTTTTTGGTAGCTCTTTTTCCAGTGCTTTGTTACACAAGGAAGTTTCATTTTGCATGTTTAGCCTTTGTAAGAAATATTATCATTTTTTTTGTTGAACCTTAACTGCCTGCACATTCTGCCAGAATCATTTTGGCTGGACTAAAACAAAGACAGATGAAGTCTTGTTGCCCATAGTAAAACAGCTGAACTCACAACAGGTAATCCATATTAGTGGTGCATTTTATTTTGCTTTAGCTAGTTGAAAGTGGCAGTATTTTAAAAATAGCCAATAAAGCCTTAACCAAAAGTGCATTATTTGCCAGCCTCTGGGTCAAATTCTGCTAATGCACCTCCTGCATTCCATAAGACCCATGGGTTTTTATGATTTGTATGTCAGCAGAAAAAATAGTCCATTTTTATTTTGTTACAGTTAAAAGTAGATACAAGTCACAGCTTAAAATAAAGAGCACTTATGGTGCCATCTCTTGGCTATTATTTTATGTTGTTTATGTTGTAGAATTTGTGTGAAATGTGAGGCATCTGGTATAATTTTAAGGCTGTAAAATAGTAAATAATCTTTAAGAATCTATTTCTTTTGTTTCAGTTCACAAGTTCAGGGTTCTGTTTGTTCTGCTTTGACCACCTGTGATTAGCTTTGCTGTTTTTAAATCTAATCTTACGTGAATGATTTTCATAAATTGCCCAAATATTTTTTTGGCTGATTGATGCTGTATTCCCTATACAAAATGTATGTGTTTTACATACATATGTCATCTGTTTCAGGAGGAGAGCAGATCAGTGAATGTATCTCAAATGTACTAATCACTTTTAAATCTATACAGACATTTTTAATGATTTGTAATTGTGACTTTTTCCTAAGAAATACTGCAGTTAACCCTTAAAATACAGCAGTGAGTATTAAAGTAACTTGAACAAGTGGTAACATTTTGTCCTGGTTTTGTACAAATGAAAAGCACAATTCAGTAAAGGAATCTTATTGTATTAATACCGTTTCATTTGAAATTGTGTTCTTGAGAATATATGAGAACTCTACTTATATTAAATCATTGTTAATATCATTCAGTGTGTTGTCATAAGAATGAACACAGTTGGCGCATCTACATGAGATGTTTACTACGTAGTTGTCCAATTAGCTCTTCAGTAAAGTCACAGCATGTGGCCCTCTTAGGCCCCAGTAAAATACCACTGTAGATTAGTACTAGTAAACACAAGATTATCCTGCGGCGACATTATTTAGTGTGCCATACTGCATATGTAGATACTGACGGACCTGGCTGGAGCATGAGGGTGCTTCACTGAGGGAGCTGCTTCCTGGCTAGGTCCACACTGGAGCACCTTCATGCCCCTGTCAGCCCCCCTGCAGCATGTTGAACTGGGTCAGAGCAGCTCAAGGCTGGCAGGCTTATCAGCTCTGACCCAGCTCAATGTGCTGCAGTCCCAGGTACACATGTAAATGCGGCACCTGGGAACAATAAAATCCAGTGCAATCTACACCAGAGTTTATTCAGTCATATTAATAGCACATGTAAACACACCTAGTATTTATAAAATTTAAAGGGAATTTAGAGTCCTTGCCCATTTACATTTTTTAGACTATATTGTGATAGTTCTTACTCTTTAGAATCTTACTACTTGTGATTTAATATTATATTTGATTATGCAGTAATTTCAGCAGGAGTAAAAAAGTATCTAATCTAGGTGTTTATATAATGGGGTTGGTAATGCCTATCACTGAAGAGTTAAAAATTTATCTTTTTAATTGTTTTGTTTTCATAGACTCAACTTCGAATTGATTCATTCTTCAGGCTAGCACAACATGAAAAAAGGGCTATTAGGAGCCAGAGACTTCGTAGAGCTGTGACTTGTATGCAAAGAAAGGAAAAAGAAGAGGAGGAGGATGAAGTTCAAAAGGCTACTGCTGTTATGGAAGGAAAACTGAAAAAACCTGAGAAAAGAAAAGAAAATATGCTTATACAGTGCACAAATGATCAAGGTACCACAGTACAAAGCAAAAATGGAAAAAGGAAAAAAGTTTCAAAATCCAAAGAGGAGAATTTCTATGGAGGTGGTTTTGTTGGGAATGTACAACTCTCAGAATCATCCAGTGGGTCTTCAGTGGAGGAATTAGAAAATAAGGTTGTAAGTAAGAGCAAAAGAAAGAAAACTGCTAAGGAGTCAAACATGAAGAAAAATGCTGCAAAACCAGAGCATAGTAAAGAGGAAGAGAACAGTAGTTCAAGTGGTGAGGATGGAAAAGAAGAAAACATAGTCATGGTGACTGCCAAATCTGTGTTTGAAGACAAAAAAAGAAAATCGCAGTGTGTGAGAGGCAGAAAAAAGGCCAAGTATTAACCATGTATATGTTGTTTTATGATCATGTCTGACTTTAAATATCTAATGAATTTTCTGCTGGAAAAAATAAACCTAAATTATCTTCTGTTAGTTTTTGTTTTTATATTATATTAACTCTGTGACAATAGGAGACATCTTTTATCATCTTGAACTACATTTTTTCAGCACGGTTGTTTGTGAGTCCTATTTTTTTTACTAAGTGAAGATTTCTGCATTAGGGATGTAAAACTGGGCATAAGACTGAAATTACTTTGGAGTAATGTAAGATAATTGTATTGTGTCAGTATTTCTCATTCCCTCAATTTCCTACTTAAGCAAAATTAGTCAAGTGACTTATGTAATTTCTTAATATAGGGAGAAGCAAAATCAGTTCAGCCAGTACTTTTTTGCTTTCTCTTCTTCAGAAGTATATTGTTTGCTGAATCTTTCTTGATGCAGAATAAGTCCCAATGGAATATCTTGTTTATGGGAGAGCCAAGTGGCAGTAAGAGTCCTAATTGTCTATATAATAATTACATCTTAAATGGCATAACATGATCTGTCTTCAGAAGTGTTATGACTTCTGTTATGGTAGGATTTGTCAAAAGGCCAAGATCAGCTTCTTGGCCTCTTGAAGGCTCAAATTATGTGTAGTAAGGAATTTAGACTGTCTTGTAACTTAACACTAATTGCTACTATGTAAAATATCTAAATTGCTCTAACTTTATTTTTTCTGCCTAACTTCCCTTTATGTTGTCCTTCTGTTTGTCACTTCCCAGCAGTTCTCTGATTAATGAAGACTGCTTCAAAAATACAGGTCTCTTAGTTTTGTTTTTTTTCCCCCCCTCTTCCTATATTATTTTCTCATGTAGCAGGCACCTGCTAGTCTCAAACATACCTTCCTCCCTTTTTTTCCTAGCTATGTTTACTGTGTTTTTCCAACTTCAGTAGCATTCTCTGCAAGTTTAGGAACCATTCAAAGCTTTAGAAGTCTGGGGTTGGTAATGGGAAAATGTGTTTGCAAACTACCAGGTCAAGAAGCAAAGTGGACAGAGCTACCTAGTAGTTGGTCTGGTGGGTCATGCTATGAGAGAATGATTTCCAGATAAGGTAAAACTGGGCTAATTCTATCTTTTTAACGTTATGTCCAATTTTTTTCTAGGTTTTGTGTTCAGAAACAAAGTTTATTGGTGGTTTGGTCCTACTTGGTCTCATTTCTGAATGGAAACTTAAACATACATCTGTAGTGCTGCAAGTGTTCAAGTAGTGCTACAAAAAGTGAATGTTCACACCAACTGTAGTGCTACAAAAATGTTCCTTTTCCAAAGGGGAACATACCTGTAGCCAGAACCGTCCCCTCCCATGCTCTGGCTGCTTGCCAGCGCTGCCACTGCACGCTCCCCCCAGCCACACACAGCCTGATATGCCCTTGGCCCCACATACCCCTAGTGCCTGTAGCAGTGTGTCTTGTAGCACCACGTGCAATGTATGGACAGTTGTAGCAGTGCTACAGAGAATCTTTCGGACCCCTGGAATTCCGCTTTTCCTGGCTCTGTGACAGCTTGCCCAGCCATGGCAAGCTGTCATGGAGCCTTGCCACTGGCACCATCACCGCAGGAGCACTGACAATAGCTAGTGATCTTGTACTCATGGTGGTAGTGGGAACAGCTGCTGCTGCTGCCATTTGCTGTGGACGTCCTTCCTAATCTCAGTGACAGAGAGGCTGTGTCTGGTTGATGCCACTGCCAGCATCTGGTGGATGCAGTTGCAACAAGGAGGTTGCCTCACTAATAGCCTCCCAGGGGGCAGAGGGGAGCAAAGGAGCAGCACCCTGTTGCCCACTGGCTGGTGAGCATACCTTTGAGGCAACTGCGGCACTCCAGCCGGGGAGCAGTGCTCTTGGACGCACCCCTATTGCTCTTTATTGTCTCCGTACTAGCAAGTGAACACGTCCATCGCCTCATGTCCTATATGTGTGTCCTTTCCATATTTCTACATAGCTGAAAATGATGACAAAACATTAAAAACCTTGCAGAGTCAATGCAACATACAATTAACATGGAATCTACCTCAGAATGATGAAAGTGACCTTGCTCCATTTAACTTTATGGTTCCAAAGAGTCTAGCATTTCACACACGATATTTACACTAGTAAACACCCTCTCCAGCAATACCTTTTATAGAAGGTGTTCTGTATCACAAGCATGTATTCCCAATGTGGATATCTATTTCAAAGAGGTGTTTTGCATATATCTCTAGTGTTCAACCTAGTCTGATTTTTTTTGTTTTGTTTTGTTTTTTCCATTTGCTGGTTGCTCCCAAATAAAAAAAAGTCTGCTCTCTAGTAATTGCTGTTGCTAAATATAGTAAAGTCCTTCAACTATACTAGAAACCGTATGAGCATAGAGTAAGAAACGTTCTTGTCCTGACGAGCTTGCAGGCTAACTTGCAAATAAAGGAGAGAAATTTCAGAGATATCCCTATAGGTCTAGTGATAGAATTTGGGCTTTTGACAAGATCAGGGGAGCTGATGATGAAAAATACTTTTAATGATCTTACAGATGCATTTGGAACATTTCTTTATCTTAAATGCACATTCACAATCAAGTGCCTACAAATACATTTCTGCTGCTTTAAAAATGTGGCACTTAATGTCTGAAAGAATTCTGTCTTCAAAAAAAAATCCTCTGGTTTTCTTTGGGTTTTTTAAAAAATTATTTATTTTTCAAGTGAGAATTTTTTAACTGCTATTTTGTATCATTTTTTGCGAATAATTTTCCTATCACATTTTCTCTTGGCTGGAGTGCTATTGGATCTCTTGCTGTTATGAAATCTTCCCCTCCTTTATGTAAGAGTAGAGTTCTCTTGGAAATATAACATGATGCGCTTACTTTCTGCGCATGCTGCAGCTGTCGAGATTTATTAATCTCGTTTAATGTGGGGTTGTTGGCAGAATGTAACACACACAATCTCTTCTCTCTGGGGATATTGGTGAGTTGACTGAAGGAAAAGCCAGTGGAGAAAACTTCTTGTAATTCCTCCTTTATTGGAAGGCTAAAAGAAAAAAAGGTTCAGGTATGTTGATAGATACCTTATAATAGACATGGGACACTATATATAATATATATTTCCTGATACCTGACTTTTTGGAGTGTATTCTGTTTGATCTGAATTCCTTGTCATTGTTTATATTAAACAGTGAATGTTAGTAACCAAAAAGTTATTTCATTAGTGTTATGACAAAGCATTTTTGTAATGGACAGTTCAAAGTCAAGCAGGTGGTTCTCATTCAGCACCCATTATAATGTAATTATAGAAGTAGAGAAAAGGTTTTCATGTTTAGAATGATTGTGTAGTGAAACAATAATATTCCTCATTCAGAATATTAAGAGCCTGTTTAACCGTCTTAATTTCTCTCCTCTTTTGACAGTATCAAAACTGATTTTCACTTAAACCATACTTACCTTTTCCTGGCAAATCTCAGCTGTGTATTCCTGATAGTTTCCATTAAGCAGAATTTTGGCTTCTACACTTCTCAATTGATGCCTTTTTTGAGCACAGAATGCACTCCCTTATTCTTACACACACAACCACCCATATGTACATGTAATGCACATAATTAATTGTCCTTTTTGATAGTTCAACAAATACGTTTTATCTGTCTAGTATTATCACACAATATGGATATGATACCATCGCAATGCAATCGTCTTTTGTCATCTAAGCTGAGAAGAAAACTGGATTACAAAGAAGGTAAATAGTTTATTTTTTGTATGATATAATATTTTCTGGTAGAAGGTTAAGATGCTAGATTGTTGCTTGTGAAAGCTCATGACTCTCTGAGCCAGTCTGTAAGGTGCCACCCTGCCTTGCCTTCCACATGACCTCAGCCTTTCACAGCTAATTACCTCACTGTGTTTTTTGTTACACTTTAGAAGACTGAGGACTAAAGTTATTTTACTCATGATGGGATATTTCATGCCCATTTTGCCTAAGGAATTGTGTTAATAATGTTTACATAAAAAAAAATATAGAGGGCAAACAAGGCCATTGCAGTGTCATAAGAGATTCATGTTATACAAGGTCAGCTAATTCAGCCTGACAACTTCCTAGCATTCAGCACACTTTCTCTGGCTGGCTGCCTGTTCCTGGTTCTGGTGAATTAAGTTGTGGCTGCCGATCAAGATATTCAAGTGGAGCCTCAATGCAGGGTGTTAGTTAGATAAAAAACATTAATTCAAGCGCAGTTGCTGTTTGTACAGACTCAAACCTATTCTGGAGACATTTTCATAAGACTGGTAACAGGGTTTGCTCTGCTGTACCATAACTAGTGGCTGCAGGCTTTCTGGTCCTTAAGGACCAAACCACTAAAATATAAGTTGATACCAGGAAAGAGGCAGAGGACTGTTTCTCTTTATTTTTAAGTAATATTTTAGAACTGGCTGTGAAAGGAGCTTTCAAAATGTAAATTGATTGTTAGGGTTGAAAACTTGTCATGGTGATTTTTCTTCAAAACTTAAGTTTTTCATAATCCATATCACATTTACCCAGATGCAGGCAGTTGGAGAAGCTTTTGGGAGAGCCTGGAGCCAATATTCCAGCCCTTCCCAGCCATCTGTGGAGGCCTTAGATGCCCCAGAAATATTACTGAAATAGTACTGTCCTGAGCAATCTCTGGCTCTTGGCCTGCAGTTGATCTTATTCGTCCTCCACTACAACAGAAGACTACACCATAGAAGACCTCTCAGAAAACAGGAAACGCGCAGTTGACCACCTGTGAAAAGAAAACATCACTCAGGAACTCTAGCAGAAGCAGGGATAGAATTCATTCATTCATTGGGACAGCATTCAGCTGCTTTTAACTATAAAGAACAATCTATTTCTTGAAGTTCCCTATCTCATTCATTACACATTTTCTAGTTCTGTAGCAACAGAGGCTAGAATCAAACAGATAACTTCCTTTGCTACACAGTTGTGGCTAATTTTCCTGTGATCTGGGTGAGATAGTCTTATGGAAAAATAGTATGTAGTTATATCATTAAAAACTCTTAATACACATGCACCAGGGAACTGAATTACACAGTGTTAATTCAGGGATTTATTTAATTTCTGAGATCTTGACGTTGTCACACTAGTGTAATTCTTCATGTGTCATTTCCCAAGAAACCAATCCCCCTACCCCTGAAAAACAAAAAACCCTCCAAATGCCATTGTGTGGCTTCAGATCAACACACACGACACAGCAAAAGCTCTGTAACCTTTTAGATTCACTGTAGAGACATCTGCCACTCGAATTTACAGTAACTAAAAGGAATAGTAGATTATCTTCTATATTCCAACACCAGAAGAGGATGGGATATGTTGCTGGTGGGTTTTAGTTATTTCCTGACAGCAGAGGAAGAGTGAGACTCAGACCAGATTATGTTTCAGGTTATAAAGGGGGGTGTTGATCCTAATGGAGAACTTTTCACCTATTTCCCCAAATTTCTTCCCTTTCTGCATCACTCTGTTCAGCCTATCCTATCCTGTCTTCCTCATCCCTGTCCATTCTTCTTACTGTCTTAATCTCTGTATTTGAGCCCTCATACCTAAGTGCTGGTTTCCCGCAACAGCTAGTCTCCTTTACGTTCACTGTATGAACATCCCACACATTGTCACTGCCTATCTCTGTTCTCCCCACCTCACAGCTCCTTGTCCCTCATTTGCTGCTTGTTACCATGTACTCCAAGTCTCACTCATTTGGCTCCTTGTCCAGTTTCAATATCCAACTGGCTTTTTCCCCCCTGTCTTTTCACAGCCAGTCTTAGCACTCACCCCATGTCTCAGCATCTCATTAGATTTGTCTCCCCTGTTGTACCAGTTTTCAACAGATGTACCCCAGATCCTGCTGTCCTGGCTCCTTATTTAGTCTCTGTCACTCTTCCTGTCTTCCTCATAATGTGATGCTAAAGCTCTTAGTTATGCTTATTTTATTTACTTGGATTCACCCCCAAATTAATTTGATTTCACACCAGACCAGTGCGTAAAATTAAATTTGGAAGGAGAATTTGTAGGGAAGCAACTGAAGTCCTTGACACTGGCAAACTTTACAGTGTATCACTTGGCTTGGCCAGAACTCAATTTCTAATCCATAAATATCTAAGAAAATGCTGATCTAGTAACCCCTTGCATATCTCAGCATTTTTAAGGGACACACTGTTCCCAACTGTAAACAGCTGCTACTGCTTGATGAATTCCTTCTATAACTCGCCCTTTATTTCTAAGGCAACAATGGCTTCAACTTCCTAGACAAATTCCGAACAAAGCTGAAAGAATTTGTATTCCTGGACAGACGAGAACCAATAGAAAACTGTGCCAAATATGAACTAATCAAGCAGTTGTTAGTTCCTTTTAATATAGAACAAGAAAGAATAGAAAACATCTTTATTGGGTTCACAGAGTAAATTGAACCAAGTACCTTAAGGGACAAAATGCATTTATGTAATGTTGATCAGTCTTAGGGTAGGAAAAATAAATATATTCCATGTGGTCTATTGAGTTCATGCTTATAAATTAATTCACTCATGCTTGAATAATATTTAACATTTCTAAAGTCCTAACTATTAACTCAACTTTTGACTTTTCAGGTTGTTTTATGTTATGTAAAGGAAAAGTTTATTTACACTAAATATAAATCTCTAATGCAGTCTTTTTCCATCTGCCTTTCCCTCTTCCTCTTCTAAGTTCCCCAAAGTCTCTTTCTCCAGGTAAGAGCAATGTAGTTCATCATGATGTAGAAAAGTAGTTTTTGAGAGAAACTTTGCCGAGCATGGCGTGCTTGCAATAGAAATTTGCCCTCTCTCTCCTTGATACCCCCATTGCTTTCAAATCTGTTTTTTGGTTAATCCCTGCTACAAAATTTTAAAAGGTATAATGTGATAGCATTTAAATCCTAGCACTAATAGGTTTGCAAATGACCACACTGTTCATTCTACCTCAGGTTGTCTTCATTGTATTGTTGGCTCAAATTACTTTAAATTTGAGCAAACTGCTTTTGAGTTAGGATTTGTTTACACAAAGAGACCACACCAGAAATAAGGAATGTAGAACAGTGTACAAAGTGTGCCTTTGTGCAATTTAAGTTTAATCTACCTTGCAAGTCAGTTAAACAACCACACAAAAGGCACCCATAGGTCATAGCGACACTGTAAATTTACAAAGCCCACCAGTAGTATCCTCAAACATTCTTCACTACTTCACACATGATATTTTCCCACCCAAAAGCAGCCATGGACCTGTGTAGCCACAAGCTGACACTATCTACCTCCAGTGCCATTGGGGTGGATATGGCTTCTAGTTGGGGGGAAGGAGTAGTTTTGAAGGTGCACCTCCTGGGTATAGTGAATGTGTGGTGCAGACATGGCCTAAAAGTACCTTTGTGGTTCGCTCAAACCACTTCCAAGATGAATTAAGATAAACTACATAAATACACAATATTTGCACTATGCTAGCTAGCTTGTGGGGTTTTTTCCCCCCCTGTGGAGGCAATTTCTGCCTTGGGAGGAGTTACCTAAAAGTTTGAGTTAACTTGAGTTTAGATAACCCAAGTTATGATGGAATAGTTGTGTTCTAAATTTATGCCTTAGGTATTTTGCAGTAATTTTCTAGTGTCATCTGTTTTGCCCAGACATAAACCAACCTCAAGTCGGCATAGACAGACTGTGGTTAACCTTGAGTCCTAAAGACTCGAGATGGGGAACACATCAGTTTTGTTTTAATAGTTGACTGGTTGTGCTAACTTGAGCTTTAGTGTATGTTAGTCACAAACCAGCCAGTTCAAATTAAAATCATCAACAACTTAAGTTGAGGGTCTTTTGTGTGTTTGGGACTCAAGTTATGACTCAAGCTGCCCAGCACTCAAGTTACAACTCAGATTAACTCTAGAGATGTCAAGCCCATAAATGAAATTACTTTCTTCCGAACCCTATACCTGGCTTAGGCAGTAAACAGACATCTAATTGAGGCAGCCCTGATTGTACTAGGTTTTGACCTAGTTCCAGACAAGAATAGCACAGACATTTATATACATAGCCCTTCCAAGATGTGTTGCTGCTCCTTGGCTAGTAGGTGGCCAGCAAGAGCATGTAGCCTCACAGGCTTATTTCTGGGACGACTCACGGGTAACTCCAATGACCTGCACTTGACTTAGGTTAGGAACAGATGTTGCATTTGTCTCTAGGCAAGTTGCGCCTGTGTTTGTCCTGGAACTGACGTATCCTGGGATTGGTGCGTACACACATTTGCTCTTTCAATCATGGTTGAGTACTCTTCTGAATACACTTCTGCTTTCTGCTATTGATTCAATTATACAATCCAGGGATAACTGTTCAGATGCACTTTGCCATGTTTCAGGATAAACTGTTAGTAATTCTTATCCTGTGAACCTTTTCCGGATTTATCATGGGATGATGGACATCTAAGCAATTGCTCTTTGTCCTGGGATAAAATAGTTTATCCTGGGAGAAATGCAGCATCTGTTTATAGCCTTTCAAGTACACCCGGGGATGTCCTGGGAAAAAAGTGCTAGCATTTTTTTTTTCTTGCATACTTCACAGGTACTTAAAGTGGGACAGTAAACTTGTACATCTATAGGCCTTGAGATGAAGGGTTTTCTTTTGGGAGAAATGTGATGTCTATTTACAACAATAATAATACTAAAGTTTATATTATAAACTTCATATTATCATCCTTTGAGGAAGACGCTCTGTTTGTAC